GGGGAGAGAGAGAGAGAGAGAGAAGGAGGGAGAGAGGGAAGGAAGAAGAGACGAAGGGAGGAAGAGGGAGAGAATAAATAGATGTAATTTTTATAAGTTTGTCCTGCTGTCAAGCACACCTACTCAAAGGAGCCAGTGTTCGGGATGCTGATGCCCTGTGGGTTTATGTCTTCAGGCAGCTCCAAGAGCCAAGGGTCCTAAAGGGTTCCTGATGATTCAAACAGAAGGAACAGTAACCCCCAGCATGATTTCCTCCAACAGGGTCATTAAGGTTTTTGATGCACATTCTATGAACTCTTAAATTGCTATGTGTTTCTTCTTCTTCTTCTTTCTTCTTAGGTGACCTTGAACAGAAGTTTGAACTGGAAATCAGTCCTCTTTGTAATCAACAGAAAGATTCAATCCCTAGCATACAAATTGGTGAGTTGAAATCTGTGTTTATTTAAACTGAACAGCTGGACACCTCTACCAGGAGTCACAAAATAATAATTAATAATAATAATCAGTAATAGTAGTAGTAATAGTAATAACAATAACTGAGCGGTGGTGGCACACGCCTTTAATCCCAGTACTTGGGAGGCAGAGGCAGGCGGATTTCTGAGTTTGAGGCCAGCCTGGTCTACAGAGTGAGTTCCAGGACAGCCAGGGCTACACAGAGAAACCCTGTCTCAAAAAAACAAAAAAATAATAATAATAACAATAGCAACAACAACACATAGCCTTTCAGAGATCTAAATGGCTGGGGACAAACTTGTTAATCATGACCAACCTTTTAGATAATTATCATTTGAAAAATCAGAACAATTAAGGAATGGGGTTTGTTATAGACCTTTAACTAAACACTAAGTTACAACATCAACCTTGTGATTTTAGAATAGAGTGAGAATCAAGAAAGACTTGGTAGTACATACCTATAATCCAAGCACTTGGGGTGACGAGCCATTAAGATCATAAATTCAAAGCCAGCATACACTTATGTAGCAAACTCAATGCCAGACTGAGCTGTGTAGTAAGACCCAGTATTAAAGGCCAAGAGCTCAGAAGGTGACTTAGAAGTCTGGCACTTGCATGCAGTGTGCAAGGCCCAGTATCTATCCCTAGCACTACAAAAAAACAGAATCCATGCGCTGGATTGTTCAGTAAAGTGTTTGCCAGGCAAACTGCAGGCCCAGTGAGAGACCTTGTCTTGAAGTATAAGGAGGACTCAGTGAGGAGATGGCTGTCAATAATGCGCCTACCTCACGGGCACACAAACATGAAGATCTACATGTCTAAGAAGTCAGGCACAGAAACCAGCACTGGGGAATTGCAGAGATAAAAGATCCCTGACGATCACTGACCTGACCCACTCACTGACCAGCAGCTCACTGACCTGCTGTCCTAGCTGAACTAATGAGAGACCCTGTCTCAAAAAGTGGTGGCTAGATGAATGGCTCAGTGGTGTAGACCATGTAACTGCCTGCAGAGGACTAGAGTTTGGATGTTAGCACACATGTCCAGTGACTCACAACTGCCCTGGTCGGCACATGCACTCACATGCCCATACCCACACATAGGTACACATACATATGTGTAAATTAAAAGAAAACATTTTTTAAATAATTTTAAAAATAAAGGTAGAGGGTAATCTTAGAAAACCATCCAGTGTACCTCTGGCTTCCACACACAGGCATGCACACACATGTGCACACACACAGGAATACAAGCAAAATACATGTACACATGCATGCACACACATATTCGTGCATGCATACACACACCAAAAAATAAATAATAGTAATAAAGGGAGAAACAACTGAGAAAGACACCCATTATTGGCTTCTGGCTTCCCACTACATGTACACATATGTGCACAGCTATATACACATAAGCAACCACATGCACACATGGACACACAGAAACATAACACACATACAAAAAATAAACCCTTAAGTCAAACTGAGTTAAGCCATTCACAGTCTCTTCAGAGCTCAGAGAGTGGAAATCCAAATGAATCAGGCTTTAAGGCCCTTCACATGTGAGGTAAGTGCTTCAGCATCCTTTCAGTGCTGGTCCTTAGACCTTGATCCACAACAGTGAAATCCATGGCCTAGTCCCTAGGCCTGAAATCCTAGAGCTCTGCTGTCCCCTTGTGGCCAGATGACAGTGCTTCTCCACTCTCTACTTGAAACCACATTTCAGTCCTGAGCTCATGAAACCACACAAGTGTCAACTGTGGCAAGCTGCTCAAGTGTGGTTTAGTGCATCCACAATGATTATTGCTTTATCTGATCACATTACACGTGTCTTGTTTAATGCTGGGTACTTTGATCTGCTCTCAGCACTTTGACTACCTGTGCCTTTCTCACCGAGCCACTCTCCACTGCAGAAGGAAGCTTCTCTGATGAAGGTGGAGAGCAGCCCAGATCGTGGGTATAAACACAAAGAGAAGACAGTTAGCCAGCATGAGCATTGAGTGAAATAATAAGTTCTACCCTAGGGCCTGTGACCTCTGTAGCCATAAACTTCTGATTAGGATTGCAATACCAGACAGGAAATTCTTTCCTGTGGAGCAGGCCTCAGGTCCAGTCAGAAAGCCACCTGTTAACTCGGAACATTCATGCACTGGTGTGCCAGTAGGCGCATCGTGCCTGGCAGGTCATTATTGCAGCATGCAGGGTCCAGCACTGGGTGAAGACACAATCTCATTTCTCTAAAGCAGCCTGTATGATGCCTTCTGGCACAGTGAAAACTAGTCATCAAGGAGGGAGCTTCCCAGTCAGATTGGGATTTACTTCTCTATATCTTATATCTAAATTGTGTGGTATCTTCAGCAATATGGTCTCACAGTGTAGTTGTGATGGGTAATCATGGGCAGCAGCAATAGTTTACGTTGTTTTGGAGGCCTCTGGGGCTTCCCAAACCAAGAATTCATAGGACAGAATTCCAGGCCTTGTACCTCGATTTTCAGTTAACAACCCACATGCCCTGAGAGAGGCCATGCCCACCTATGCAGGACAATGCCATCCAAACTCTTTTTTTTCAAGTTGCATTTTGAAATTAGATTGCTAACGAGTGGCTTCCCGTGAGACTATTTCATACACTAGCTCTGGGTAAGCCATCCAATATTTCCTTCTTTCCTCCATCTTCCCAAGAGATGGCTCAGTGGTTAAAGTCTGCATTGCTTTGCCTGGTTTTTTATCCCAATCCAAAATGATATATTCCCGAGTGTGAGTCTTAGTTAGGTTTGATTTTCTGTGGAAGTAGTTCACATTTGCCCAAAAGTAAGTTGCACCCCTCCTTCTTTTTCCACATTCACAATCCTCTCTCTCTAGCATTTTTAAAAGAAAGGAAACCAAATGAATCTCTAATCAGTAAAATCTATAGGAAGACAAAGAGAAGTTTCCTTCAACACATGTCTCCTATAAAACCACCCCCTTCCTCTCCCACAATGCCAGAAGGACAGTACCAGGTACAGTGGGCTCATCCTTGGAGTGTCTGGTAGCACACTGGTGGAACAGTTTCCCAAGCCTGTCTGATGCTTATTCAGACTTTAAAATCACTTTCTTATCCAAAGCAAAAAGTCTTCACATAAAACAGTACAAATACAGAGGTAATTCCTGGGTAACATCAAGGGAAAAATGAGTTGATTTTTTTTTTAATGTTGGATCTGTAACTGTTCTACTTAGGAAGTAACACTTCCTAAAATTCACACTTTGAATTTTAGAAGACTATCATTTTAACAGTATTTTTTTAAAATGTCAAATATATAACCTCTTCCGATGTAAAGTGGTGAAAATGTAATAGCAGGTCCAAAGGGAAATCTCAAGTGCTGAGACTCAGCACCCGTTAGCACGGCCAGTCAGACATAAAACCACTGAGGCTTCCCTAAGCCTGGGTTATCTCAAAGACACAGCACAAGATTTAAGCCACATTTCACATAAGATACTTCAGAAACATACAATAACCATTTGCATTGCTGCTTCCTTCTCCCTAGCATCCCAAAGGCCAAATGTCTGCCGTTCGTCCAATAATAGCATCAGATCAAGTCTTACAATTCACATGTTTATAAATATAAAAGGGTTAGTTGCTGGAGAAAATGTTATTACAAAAAATCCTGCCTTTTTTTTCTTTTGCTTCCATTTCAAGGAAGCACAGTAAAGTGCAAATAAATCCAAATTTGCTGCCATAATTCCAATAATTCCACACTATACAGAAAGCTATCTTTGTGTGGAAAACACATTAACAGTAAGAAAGGATTAGTTGGCAATGAGTGTTTGATGATTAAGAGAACAGAAACTTTATCTGGGCATGAGTGTAGAGTCCTGTAACCTCAGCACTCTAGAGGCTGAGACGGGAGAATCAAGACGAGTTCAAGACCAGCCAGGGCTGAGTAGCGAGACCCTGTCAGGAAAGGGGTTGGAGGAAACTAGGAAGTCTAACATCAAACAGTCATCTATAGTCACTAAAGCAGGGTTTCTTCTTGCAGGTAAAAATATATTATCAAAGGGGCCAGGCACGTTCTCAGTTGTGACTCATTTAACTCTAGCACACGCCCACTTCTGGGTTCAATCCCTAATTAGCACTGTTTTTAAAACTCTGTGTTGACAAAGAGTGTTTAATCTGGGCATGGTGATACAATGTCTATAATCTAAGAGGCTAAACCAAGAAGCTAGCCTAGGCTACATAACAAGACCTTGTCTCAAAAAAAAAAATCAAAAACACCACATGAACACACACACACACGTACACAAAGTAAAATGACTTCATTTTAAACGTGGTTGCCTGATGTCATTGATGGTAAGACAATACTATAAAATAATAATCTTGAAAAAGTATCTCACCAAGCCATCTGAATCTTTCTGATCTGAATCCATGGTATCGTCTACATTTATTTCCTCCCCTCCCCACCTGCCTTCCCTAGTTCTTTTTTGCGTTTTCTTTTTTGCCGGTCTCTCTTTGCAGATAATAACTGCTAACACCCATTACTTCAGTCAAGAGCTTTAACCATTTAACTGGTGATAAGCCATTTACCACAAGAATTCTGAGGGTCTGGTTGGTACTCAGCTCCTTATCCCAAATGCAGAGGTGGAAGTACAAGGATTTTTAGTGGGAGCCGTGAAACTAAGGGTAGTGAGCATATCTTGTTTGCCCACCCATGCCTGGCCGGGTGCACTGTGGGTCTCAGCCGTGCTTGTGAAGGAGGTGACTTTGACGCCCTTGTGGTGACCTGGTCTGTGACCTTTCCTGTTGCAGGTTTCATGACTTACATCGTGGAGCCACTGTTCCGGGAGTGGGCCCGTTTCACTGGTAACAGCACCCTGTCCGAGAACATGCTAAGCCATCTCGCGCATAACAAAGCCCAGTGGAAGAGCCTGCTGTCAAATCAGCACAGACGCAGGGGCAGCGGCCAGGACCCGGCTGCCCCCACACCTGAGACCCTGGAGCAGACGGAAGGTGCCACGCCCTAAGATAGCGGTCTGCTGGAGCGCGGCCATCTGTCCGTCCACAGAAGCACGGCCATCCGTCCGACTGCCCTCGCAACAAGCCCACCATGCTGGGTTTCGATGCCACCCACCTGCCACTTACCGCCTCCCTTCGTTGATCCAAGTGTACAAAAGCCATTGTCACCTCAGCATTAGCTGCCGACATGGGCAGCTCTATACTGTCATTGGAGCTGATTCTGGGGTGGCTGCCCCAACCGAAAAGACTGGAAGTAAGAAAGGGGCGCTTCTGTCGTGTCTGCCTCTGGCCCTTGGTCAGGCTGACTGACAGTGGCTCCTAAGTCCAGAGCATTTTTAGAGTTCGCCATCGGACAGCTGACCTGCATGACACCAGCATACTTGGAACTGCAAGATTGATCTTACGTGCCAGAGCACAAACGAGAGTGTGAGAGAAAGTACCTTCTATTTTAATAATAATTATTATTATAAAATAATAAATCTTTTTAACTTTTATATTTCATGCACCAGAGAATGGGTCTAAAACTTTGGACTAAGAATACTCAGCGTACCCAAGCCTAAGAGTGGTTTCATTGTTTTGCTATTGACTTTATGCCACGTTGGGTCAGAGATGTGGCACCTTTGCGATTTACGAAACCACGTGTCCCCTCCCATGGGTGGACGGTGCTGTACAGCTCATCTCTGTTGCACCATTAGCCAATCTGTCTTTTACGGATTCAGTGACCTGTTTATATTCACACGTGTACATTTTCTGTAAATACCTAACGCTACTGATTCCCATGCCAAAATACACGAGTATTATGGGATTGCTACCTGTATAAACAATGGCACTGTGAACAGAATATTGTTAGTTTTAATACAAAAGAATGCATTTGTAAATATGGTATAGAGTTTATTAATATACTGTTGTTCGCAGATAAAGGCCTTAACTTTAAACGTTTTTCCTCTTCCGAAAGCTGCCCAACCTAAATCCTTCCAGATGTCTTTCTGAACTGCCTGCCCTTGGTGACCACCTCTGCTTTACTGCTAAGGTCACAAGTCAAAACTGAGTACCGTCTTGAAGGAAACTGTTTTTTAGAAACTTCTCGTGCATCGAGACCACAGTTTTAATCTATAGCACCAAGTACGGTTTCCTCAGATTAGTGATCCCCTTCCAGCGCAGCAATGTTGCACACAGTTTTAACAAACTGGCTGATAAGCCTGTGTTTATGTAACTCCTGTTATGGAACACGGAGTACATCAGCCTCACAGAAAACACAGCAGGTTTCAAAAGTCTTGTATGACCCTGTCACCTAACCATCAGGGAACTTCCTGTCCCCATGCCATGCATTTGTCTGATATGGCTACAATACCAAAGTCCCTTTGGTCCGTGGTCAGTTGGTGTGTGCTTCTTTGGTGTTGATAGTAACTGGATTATTTCCTTTTTTCTAGAGTTTCATGTGAACAACTGCTTAGCTGAATTTAATATTAAGTAAAGAAGCTATTTCAGTTTTATAAGGGACTTTAGCTTTCTAGCAGGTTGATGTGGTTCATTATGGCTGCAGCTAGCAGAGTCAGCTTGGAACTGTCATCCATCTGCAGATACTTGGCTGTAAAATCCAGCATTACAGCATTCTTACTCAGCCAAACTGTGCTTTGAGCCTTTTCTTCATGAGTTCTAGCATAATTAATGTTATATGGAAACTGCCAATGCTCCTTTCTCTTTACCTTAACACGTAGTGGGAGAGGGGAGCATTTCTGCCATGATAAAGCCGCTTCTCAAGCTGATAGCAACAGCTAGCTCTTACTTCCTAAGTGCAACTAATGTGGGGCTCTCTGTTTCTCCTAATAACACAAGTGAAACGTCAAAACTGTGCCTGTCCCGGAATATGTTTCCACAGAGAGATTGGGGCTTACAGAGTTAAGGTTGTGGAGGGAATAGGAAAGTTGATTATATTGTCACTAGTGTAAGCAAGACTGTCAGATGGGACTAAAGAAAGTCTGAAGAATTGGTGAGGTGGGTGGACGGCGCTGACGTCACTGATAGGAAGGGAAGTTTTGGACACTGAGCACTAACTTCTGATTTCTGAAGCATCTATGGACTGACATATATTTCCTTATTGTTATTCTGAAGCTCTGAGCTTAAGCAAGGCCTCACATGAGAATACAGCAGATAGAGTCCTGCTTTGAAACCTCTCTCATTTTGGATTGTAGCCGTCTGTTTTTATGCATATGAGATCAAATCAAGGAGATCAATTGCTCAGGATGACAAAAATAGAAACAGTAAAGCAAACATTGTTTTGAGCCAATGGAGTCTCTACCTGGAGTTTAGGAAGTAGATTTTGCTTAAGTTATAATTATATTATAATTGAATTATAGATAGAGCATTCTTGATAGTTCCAGGTTTATAGGGGAAAGGTTTTCATCATGTTCTAATCGAGTCTTAAAGAGGAGTCAAGCAATGGAAACTATCAAACATCTAATGGTTAAAATACAAAAATAATAAAAATCAGAAGTAAGGCAGAGCCTGACTCATGAGGTAGACGCATCTGCGATTTCTACTGTCTGGAAACTTCTTGAGCTCCTCATTTGTTGAGAAAAAAAAATTAACTGTGAAAACTCTTCTTTTTTGCCTGCTAATGGCTCTCTTGGAATAATTTAATACAGGCTATCTACTAAGTAGTGGAGACACGGCCCCTGACCCGGGTGTCGATATAAAGTCTTTAAAGTCTGCTGGCCCAGCTAGCTCATGGCTCATCAATTGATGACTTAGAAAGAAAGGATTCAAAGAACTACTTTCTTAGGTAAGATATCAAGATCTCAGAGAAAAAGAGAGAGAGAAAGAGAGAGAGAGAGAGAGAGAGAGAGAGAGAGAGAGAGAGAGAGAGAGAAAGAAATATGAATACATCACTATCAGGCCTGATGATCAAAGCCTACCTTTCTTTGTAGCCATCCAATCCGCAGTCAGACCTGATACCTGAAACCCTGCCAACTCAGCCCTGTTAGGTTAAGTACACCAGTTGTTGCTCCTCTCCCTGCTTACAGCCTCCCTCCTTTAAACGGCCTTGGAGCTCACATGCAGCCCCATCTTCAAAGAGTCCTTCTGTAACACACGGAGCTTTGTGGCCTTTTGTGTTGAATCAGATCTGCTCACTGACGCTGACTTGGTTATGAGCTTGGATTCCTCCTGCTTTGTTCTTTTAAGACTGTAAAATTGTGTCATCTTGTGTACACATGTAAAGTTTAGGGGAAAAAAACATTGTGAGTTTTGCTCAAAATGTGGCCTAAATATTCATTGGCATGTCTATCCAGATGAACATTTAAAAATAAAGATAATTTCTTTAAAATATCACAGTGTAAAAATATCCTGACTCTCCCCACATAACACATCACCAGCCAACCAAATGGGAATGTTCCTGATAGGAAAAACTCAATGAGCAGAGTTGTAACCATGGTCTGGGTGACTCCTTTCCCCCAGGCTGCAGAAATGTCTCTCTGGATAAAAACATCACTTCTCATTTACAACCAAGTAAGGGAAACAGACTACCCTCCGATTCTGCATTTTGCCAGAATCTTCCATTTTTATGATTTCTCAGGCACATGTACAAATGAGGAGAAGGTAAAGATTACCATTCTTTATTCTCCATCCCCACTTTATTAAGATAGGTGTTCAGCATCCCACTGACTCCTGAATGCCTCCCATGTGGAAGCAGAGCTCCTTTTCAGTTGTGGATGCTCTACAGCATAAAGTCAAAGTCAAGTCAAAGAGAGAGAACAGTGAAGATCAGATGTGATCCGGGCAAGTATGGAGGGAGACTTCAATGAAGCTGTCAGTAGGTGAAACATGTAAGCAATTAAAGTGTAATTCAATACTGATTGAGGAGCCGCCACACAACGGATGTGCTGCATATCAGGACCCAAAGGACTGGAGCCTTCCAGTAGACACAGTAGACAGTCCCTTTGACTTGTGTCAAAGGGTGGTGTTACCAAGGAGTGCTTCTTTTATTTTAGTCTTGCTTTTTTGGTTTATTTTGAGACAGGGCCTCACTATGTAGACTAGTCTGGTCTCAAACTCATAGAAATCCACCTGTTTTCCTCTTAACATCTCAACAGAGAGAAGATTCTTGCTTCCAGGGGAGTCTGATGGACAGTCAAATACTTGAGTGATGATGAAATAAGAAGCTTCTTAGCCATAAAACAGACCATAATGGAGCTTTTTGGTCTCAATTAAACCAGAAAAAAATAGTTGGAGATGAAGGCAGGGAGTAAGCTTAAACTAACATGGATTGAGAATTAACTTTTGTTCATGTCAAAGCAAGTGATGAGCCATTGATTCGATTGACTGAAGTGCCTCGGATTCTAATACTGTGAGTGCTGGTTTCATCTTCAGTATTTCTCCCATTCAGGGAAGTGATGCGGTAGAGTAATAAAGGTGTGGCCCTTAAAACCAGACACTAGAATTCAGGTGCTTCACTCTCACTTGCAGGTTTAAACCTATGCAGAGAGTTTAATCTCTCTCAGCCTCTGTCTCCCTCTGCATCATATGTTAGCAATACCTACATTCTGGGGCAGTCGTAAGATCAAAATTAAATACTATCCATAAGAGACAGAGAACATGGTTTCCAACAGAAAGGGGCTCAATACTGTTTGGGTCTGGAATGTCTCTAAGGTTCAGTCCTCAGGTTGGAGATTTTGGGCACAGTGGAAACCTTTACAAGGTAGGATGTTGGTGACTAGAGATATACCATTGGAGGGCACAATGCGTCCCAGCCTATATGTTCTCCTTTGTTTCCTGGATGCCATGAAATTAGCAGCTTCCTCTGTCATGTCCTTCCACCAAGACACACTCACTGCCTTGCCTTGATCTCAAAGCATCAGGCTAACCAAACTAAAGTCTCTAAAACCATGAGCAATGTAATTTGTCTCCATAATTTGATTTTCTGATATTTTTGTCACAATGACAGAAAGCTGAAAAATATAGGGATATTTAACAAGTGTAAATTCATATATTATTCAAGGGGAAAGCTATAAAGTAAATGCTGAAGTGCATCTTTCTGTATGTCACATCAATTTTTGTGTAACTAAAAGCATAAATCCCATTAATAAGCACTGATGATAGTTATATCTACAAGTAGCCAGGCTGGTCATAAAATAATATTTCTATTAAGAACAAAATGCGGCCGGGCGGTGGTGACGCACGCCTTTAATCCCAGCACTTGGGAGGCAGAGGCAGGCGGATTTCTGAGTTCGGGGCCAGCCTGGTCTACAGAGTGAGTTCCAGGACAGCCAGGGCTACACAGAGAAACCCTGTCTCGAAAAACCAAAAAAAAAAAAAAAAACCAAAATGCTATAAAATAATTAAGGGAAGATCATGTTCTTTGGGTACCAAGAGTATTCTGATAAAACCAGGGACAAAAGACTTTGTCTTCTGGTTTTAGTGTAAATATTCCTTGACAAGCCACAGATAACCAGTCTGTCTAGTCTAATACTTTTCTAGAGTTGACAAGAATTCAACTCTGGCTACAGAGAAAGTTTAGTTAAACAAGCAAAACTTGATAGCCTGCCAAGTGTTCAGGGATTCCACTCAAATCCTACAAACCTTCTAATCCTATCCATGGCGGTTTCTGATGACCCTGCATCTTTTAACTTCACTAGATCCTCTGTAGCTATTAAAGCAACTAAGGGCTCCAGGGAAGCCTAAAGGGAGGGAAAATAGACTGTGCTACTGAACAAATGCTCCCCAAATTACTCAGCAATGTGTGTGTGTTAAAGGCTATGTGATAGTGTTCTCCCAGAAAAAGAATGGCTTCCCTCTCAAGGAAGTTGGAAAAAGAATGCATCAGTTTCTCCCCTGCCTGCTTTACAGAACTCTCCCAAGCTACAGACGTCACTAAGATAGAACTAGTAATGTCACTCTTGGGGCTCTAGTTGGGGACTGAAATCAGGAAGCTTCTCTCACCTGCCTCCCACCCCACCATCACTCCATTTGGCCTCCTACCTTCTATCAAGCAAGGAACTCACTATACAGCCTTAAATTTGTGATCTTCCAGCCCCAACCTCAAAGCATCCAGCCAGCTTAGCGGCTGGTTTGTATGTTTTCTGTATGTGTCTGTGCTTCATTGTTATTAATGTTGTTCTGTTTTGCTTCCTGGTGAATGATAAAACACCCTGATCAACAGCAACTTTGGGTTTATTCGGCCAGTCCATCAGTAAGGTAAGTCAAGGCACGAACCCAAACAGGAGGTTGGAACAGAAATCTCAGAAGAATGCTATTGCTGGTTCACTCCCAGACTGATGCTTGGCTAGCTTTCTCATCCAGGCCAGGACCTATATGAGATGGTGCCACCCACGGTGTACAGAACCCACCTGCCTCGGCTGAGAACAAGACAATGCCCCACAAACTTTCCCACAGGCCAATCTGAGCTAGGAAATTCTTCAACTGGGGTTGTCTGTTCTGAGGTGACTCCAGTGTGTCAAATTGACAGCTGAAGCTAACTAGCACAAATGCATAAGTATGTGCTCTTCCCAAAGACGGGTGTAGTAACATTGTACTTAATGTAACTGAGTCCATGGCCTGACTTTGCCAAGATTAGGGATATTTCTAAATATTCTGTCCTGGGCTTCTTCACCTTTAAAATGATGGTAAAAATGAAATCTGTGTTATAGGACCTCATTTAAAGTATTTTGAACATATGGAAAAATATTCAATTGGCAAAACAAACTCCACTTCCGTTACTTTCTGGTAAACTCTTTAGTAACAGAGATAATATTCTTTTATTGTATATTCTCTACTTGTAACTCAGAAAGTAGTGAATTTTTGTTGAGACAGGTTCTCATTATGTAGCCTGACACTATGTTGAACACACTGGCCTCCAGTTCACAGAGAGCCTGCTCTGCCTCATGTGCCACCATACCTGGTCCAAAAAAATACTTCTTAAGGAGCATATGATTGATGAATTGAAAATGGTATCAGAATAATGTTAGCATTAAATCCAAATAAATAAAACCCTATGCCAGGGTCTTGAGAGATGGCTCTGCTCTCAAAAAGGACCTAGGTTGTTGGGTTCTTAACAACCATCTGCAACTCCAATTCCAGATGATCTCATGCACTTTTCTGGCCTCCATGGGTGCTACATGCATATGGTGCACAGACATACCTGTAGACAAAACACCAATGCACATAAAATAAAAATAAATCCAAAAAAATTAGAATACGCATAACCCACACTATTTCTGCTCAATTAGCGGACATATGAGCATCTTTATGGTCCTCAAACTAAGCCAAGCAGACTAAAATGTAGAATCCACTTACAAAGTTATTGCTTCCTACTTCTCATGGCTATATTTAGTTTTGAACCTTTCTTTTTAAGCTTCTGTCAGCATATTTTATTTGTACAAATTAATAGACTTCTGTATGACAGTTTATAGGTGCTTGTAAAACACTTAGATCATTTTTACCGCCCCTCAGCCTCTCCTTCAGAATTCAGTCTCACTGTTCTGTCAGGAGCTTGGTTGGTTGGGTAGTTTGGTTTGGGGTCTTCCTGGGCTTTGGGAAGAGGTGGTAGGCTTGTGGTTTTGAGGAATAGTTGTTAAGCTACACATTTCCATGTGTGCTTTTGTGTGAGCAGCATGATGTGATGTTTTTGTCATTCTCGCTCTGAAGTGTAACTGGAATCTGGTTTTGTGATTTCTCCAGCATTGCATAATTGCCAGAATCACTCTATATGAACAAAAGATACTGTCTTTTTCTGGTTCTGTAAAGTAGGTCATTGAGATTTTTGTCAGGGATCACATTAAATCTACAACTACAGTCACAATGCTAACTGCTGGTCCATGAATATAGAAGATCCCCCATCTTCTCGTACCTGCCATGGCTCCGTTCTTTAGTGTCCTAAAGTTTTCTTTGTACGGGTCTTTCATCTCCTTACAGAAGCTGATCCCTGTGTAGTCTTTGGGACCATAATAAATAAAATTGTTTTCCAGATTTGTTTCTCGGTTACTGATATATAAAACACTAGCAATTTCTACATGTTGATTTAGCACCCTGCTACTTTGTTGAAAGATATTCTGTTTATGAATTCTCCAATGGAATTAGTCTTTTAAGCATAAGCTCATGCCATCTAAAAATAGAGATAATTTGACTTCTCCCTTTCTGACTTGCCCCACCCTTTTCCTTTTGTCTTATCAGCCTGGCTAAGACTTCAAGCAGTGTACTGAAGAGTGAGCCATTTACCTGGCTGCTGATGTAAGAGGTGAAGCTGGGAAGCAGCTCTTTGGTGGAGTGCTTGCACAACACAAGTAAGGCCCTGAGTTCGGCTTCTACTTCAGAAAAAGTGGGAAAAAAATCAG